AAACAACAAAAAGCTGGAACAGGAAAAGACACAATGAATCAAAACCATCAAAATAAAAACTCTGCAAAGCACTTCAACATACTAGAATTGTGTTTAAGTAAGTACATCTCCACCTCCCTATTCGAAAGACAAACACAGAACCAGCAAACATGCAGACTGTGGGAACAACGTTCACACACAGTTTCAGTCTGCACCAGTCCTTGTTGTTTGCTACCAACGAGATATGATCCCATCCAAACTTTCCAGACAAAAGTGTGACTTGGAAGCTGTCAGCTCTCCTCCAGTTACAGCTCTAAATAAAACAGAGATTGTCTCCAAAGCAACCAGGTTTACTTGTCAGTTGTCCCACGAAAGTCGCCTGTTTGAAAAAGCCTTTCTCTTGTTCAACAGTCCTTCATTTTGCCTGTTTTTTCAGCGGTTTTTTCAGCATGGCTGTCGACTCACTCTGGCACAACTCTTCTCCTCTCCTGACAGCAGAGCAATGCCTAGCAGCATATAAGGAAGGTGGTGTGTGTCTTGCTTTGGCTGKTGTACACTACAGTCAGGTAACTTTGCTTGGAAATTTTCAGAAAAGCTGTAAATGTGAATAAACTCCTCTGCATGGGTCCACAAACTGCATATTAGCTGGGCTGTGCTAGACACTACAGACCTGTACTTCAGACCAGCACCTTTCATAGTCCTAACTGCAGTGTGTGTGCAGGCCTGGGTGGATCTCCTTCACCACTCCACAAATATGTTCCCATCCCACACCTGAATGAAATTCAAATTTTTCAACAAAAGTGCTTTCATATTCCCTAAAAGAAAAAAACAATCTGACCATGGCCCCACAGCTCAGACACCCACTGAAACACACTGCTGGCCCTGCTGTAGCCCACATCAGAGGAAAGAGAGCCAGCCACCCTGGTGCCAGCTGCCATAGGGTGCCTTCATTTCTCCTGCTGGTCTTGATCCASTCTGCATAAATACTGATAGAGCCAGAGCAGAGACAGCCCAGCTGTGGCTCCCACCTTGCAGACAAACACCTCATTGCCAATCCACCCGGGATTCAGCATTCAGCTGCTCCCTCTCWAATCTGCCCTCCATCTCAGAACCTTCCCCAGATAAGCATTCGCTGCTGGARTTAGTATTTTACCAGGAAGAGGGATACTTTCAAACAAATGAAGATATTCAGGCCAGGAGGGGGAGAAAAAGGAAAAGAAAAACCCAAACCACCTCGGCAACAACCCTGAGCATTCATCCCATGAGGAAAACCAGCCAAGCGGTCAGGATTTCTCTCATTAGTAATCAGGGAAAGCATCTGCAGCTCCACACAGCCTTTTTATGCTTCACCAAGAAGTCAGACAGGGCTGTCAGCCTGTTGCACTGTCACACATCACCCCGTGGGAGGTTTTACAGCTTCTTGCATTCCCCAGGAATTTCCAGCACTGGTATAATATCTCCTTCCACCTCTTGGAAAGACACCAGCCATACAAACCCGCACTCRAATTTGGAAACTGGCACAGAAGACTTGTAACATCTGACACCATAAAAACTGTTTCGTACTGAAGCTTTCAGTAATAGCAAAACCAAAAAACAGACAGCGGAGGAAGGAGGGTGATACATCTGCCTGGACAGCTTCCTATGCATGTGTTTAATGATTGCAGATGCACAGCTTTGGGGCGTAAAGYTGCTGACCTTAAATGAATTCCCCATACGGGGAGCTCAGTTTGGCCAGGCTGAAGCCTTCCTTTTCATACATCTACAGCCCAAACACACAGAAACCRCTCGACAGGCTATATATACACATAWATTTGAACCCRTAATTTCTTCTGCAAATGCCATGAAGTTTGTAAGGCCCTCATTTATCTTAATTCTACAAGTCTCTGTTTCTAAAAGTTAACAGATGTTCTTGTGGTTTTCAGTTAGTCATAGACCACAATCCCACAACCCGAGGAGCTGCTCCCAGCCCCACAGCCACGTTAACCAGAGTGAGGCACTGCCTGCCCCAGCACCCAGGAGTTGTGGAAGTCCTGGTCCCTCCTTTCCATCCCTTTCAGCATTCTCTAACTGGCTGCTGTCATCAACCACAGCACCTATGTGAGGAACACTGTGTGTTCGCAAGGTGACGTCTGTGGTGTCAACACTGGCTTAAGGTGCTCTCACCCACCCCTGCACCTCATTTCCTCTCCCACCCCACACCACAGAGCTTCTTCTGCTTTGCCAGCACAATTAGGTGAGCAGCAGGGAATACCTCAAACCACTCCTGTCAAAGAGTTCACCTCAGGAACCCCAGACTCTGCAGAAGAAGCAAGAGACTGCAGGCTGGGATGCCCCATCCAAGCCCCTTTCTCACCCAGGCACAATACCAAATTTGGGAGGAAGCAGAATTTGTGCAAAGAAGAGTCGCAGAACTGCACCCAAGTTTCCAGGTCTATTCCTCACTTGTGGGGGGGGGGTTCACCCCTGCCTGTCTTCTTTCTCCTGTTTGGAAGATTTGTCGAGGCAGAAAGAAAGGGCGGAAAACACACCAGAGACTGATGTAGGATCTCCAGACGCTGGAAACGCCTGAACAAACAGACWCACAGACACACAGACAGGCCAGCTGACTCTGCAGACAGAGCCCAGCGCTCCCACTGTTCATCAACCCTGACACAAATGCACCAAAGGTGGGTGCGTCTGGAGTGCGTGGGACCCCCTGGCCACATATGAAGCATCCATGCAGCAGCTACAACGTGTCCCAAGGCTATTGAGTGTGCCCATGGGCCATAAATACATGTCTAGCCTATATTTCCATCTGGGGCTTTTACTATCCAGGACCCTCTACTCTGCTTGCTATAAAACAAAAATAAGATAGCAGTAAAGGAACCAGTATCCTGGAGCCAGTTGTGCTTTCTTCACTTGTTCAGTCATGCAACAAAGCTGAGCTCAGAGCTGGGAAAATTGTTAGTGAGGTCATGGTGAAAGGCTGYTCTCATGCCTTTTTCTCGGCTCTGGTCCTTGTCTGACTGCTAATGGAAAACATGCACAAACTCCTCCCAGGAAAACTTCGCTCTCTGCCTTGTTACCCATACTGCGCTTGGACAATTAGCTATTATTTCAAGTRATTTAAATGCTATAAACGCTTACATTTATAGAGTATGAGGTAAACTGGAGTCCTGCTGGCTCCTTTTTTTTACCACAAACCCTGTTGCCAAATACCACAAACCTCTAAGATTCCTTTACCCTGCACACAGGGGAGGCCACAAGCTCGGTGACAGGCGGGATTACTCTGCCTAACCCAGTGTGGCACTCACCTGTGCCATCTGGGAGATTCCTGCAGCAGGGTTCTGCTGTGTGCACAGCCCACACACTCAGTGACCTCATTCAATCCCTTTGACATTTGCTCTGCCCCTTTCCAGACCAAGAGCCCCAGGCAGAATCTCTAAGAGTGGAAAGGATTTGCTTTCAGTTTGGGACCAAGCGTAGGTAGCAACTTCGCACAGAGCAACCTGTGTCTRGAAAAGCAGAGCCCGAGCAGCAGCAGAGGCTGCAGAGCTCTTCCTGCCCTGGCTCCCTGGTGCCGGAGCAGCTGCAGGAGGCTGGGACAGCAGGACAGCAGGACAGCAGCTGTGTACCTGGCACGCTGGCTCACAGCGTGGGAGAGGGGCCCCGAGCTGCACACAGGCAGGAAACGAGCCCAGCAGCAGAGGAGAACGAACTGAGAGCCAASTCCTGATGTAAACACAAGCCTTGGTAGGGCTGTCCTATCGCTGCCATGTGAGCCACCAAATCTGCAGCTAATGACATTCTGAAAACCGCAGATAATGCACCCCACGCTTCTGCCACAGGAAGGCAGAATGTGCTTCACGGCTCATAACGAAATAACAGCAGTTCCTCACAGTCAGTGGCCAGACTGAGCATTGCCTCAAAAATCCTCTAGTGCCTTCCAAGGAAGAGTAAGTTCATGCCCGAGTCACGTTTGCCTCCTATGTCATCTCAAAGACACACAGAAGTCTGTTTTTATRGAGATGTGTTGCTATGTACAAATCACTCTGTATACACAATCTCAAACTGYGGGCAAAC